GGTTCCACCTACAGAATGTTAAGGAACAGACTGGAGGCAGAATTGCAGGTTTTATTTAAGGCTTGCGGAGACATTCAGGAAAATGGAATCTGATTGGGAGCAAATTAAAGGTGTGTGTCTGTGCGCACCGACAGGTAGGATGAGGAAGCGGACGTAGCTCAGCCAATCAGGCGTCTTGCTGGCGAGCTGCTCCACGAAGCAGCAAAGGACGGTACTCAGGTAGGTCTGGTCGCCGCCCACCGCCACCTTCACTGTGGGTGGAGTCTGGGAGTTACAGTTACAGCTGCAAAACACAAGCAGGTCAGAGACTCACCTGGACGCATCACACACACTGAACGGAAATACTGGCCAATCAGATCCCTACAATCTCTGGATGCGGCTGATGACGGCACTGAAGGCGGCCTGGACGTCGGCAACGGAGACGGTGCAGACGATTGGCTGATCGAAGAGAAGCTCAGACAGGTACTGAGGAGGGAGGAGGTGAAATCTGACACCTGGTCACCTGAACAACACTGTTCATCAAAGTTGGACAGACAGTCAGACAGACAGACAGACAGACAGACAGACAGACAGACAGTCAGACAGACAGACAGACAGACAGACCTGTCCCTGCCAGTCGGTGGTGTTGATCAGGATGATGGATTCAGGAATGTGTTCCTCAGAGAACAGGATGTGGTTCAGCTGATCCAGAACAGACTTTCTGGCCACCTGAAGAACAGAACCATAGATTCAGTTTGTCAACAACCAGCAGCAGCCGGAACACCGATGAGGACGTGAAAAGAATCAACAGTAAAAACTTCCATCAGCAGCTGAGCTGGTCACTTGAGAATCCACACCTGCTCAGGTGTGTTTAGAGGAACAGACCGTGATTCTGGCTGTAGAAGGTTCCACAAAGATGATCAAAGCAGTAATACCAGTCTACTGTCTGTCTGTCTGTCTGCCTGTCTACCTGTGGAGCAGGTGTTCTGTAGTCAGCGGATGATTCACTGTCGATGCTGCTGGTTCTGTCCGTCCCTCTGGAGTTCTGTCTGTCCTTCACAGAGACGCTCCAGGGATGTCGAGACACAGAAGCTCCGGACTTACTGCAGACACACACACAAACACACATCAGTAGTAAAGGAGTGTGTGTGTGTGTGTGTGTGTGTGTGTGTGTGTGTGTGTACCTTGGTGACATGAGTGTCTGGGACTCGGTTTTACAGAGTTTGGCAGCAGGACCTGCATCTGTTGTCATGGCAACATCATCCTCGGCCTCCTGTGGACAGAAGAGACGGTGAACCTGACGTGTGTCTCCTTGTGTCCGTACGAGGCCCTGCTCCTCCAGAGACTCACCCCAGGATCGGCCTCCTCTCCTCGGGCTTCCTCGGGGCTTCGGGCTCCCTGGAGCTCGGCTGCCTGAACAAGAGCAGAGACCAGTGACAGAGAGCCGCCAGCAGGAGGCAGCAGAGCATCGACAAAGAGCCTACAGGAACCGCACACTGATGGGGATGATGGCTCAAGAATGAAAGCTGTTGTTTATTAGCTCTGGTGGCTGTCGGGGTTCTGAGGTGAAACCTGGATCAGTTCACTCACTGCAGCTGCTGGTTCCGTCTGCTGGTTCTTCTGGCTGCTGGCAGGGACCTCGGTCTGGGAGACGCCCTCGAAGAACGGCCTGCAGGCAGAACCACGACTTCTGAACTCCACAACAGACACACACAGGACAACAACCAACGTTTTCTGAGTCACAGAACAGACTCTGCAGTTTGTCCAGTGAGGCGACTCTGTTCCTTGTGGTTCTGGTTCTGGACAGACTGCAGAGGTTCTGGACGTCGTGACTCTTGTCTCCTGAAGCTGATGGTTACAAACCTTTAATGTCTGATTATCGACTTTGTTTAAAATAAACTCCTTCGTGTCTGACTGGATTCTCACGGCCGACGATTAGTCAGTACCACTTGTTGAAAGCTGTGAGGCCAACGTGGGTCAGAACCAGCTGCGTGTGACCAACATGAAGCCAAACAGGGCAGTCTGATGGATGTTTAAATAAGCTGCAGTTAACCTGGATTACTGATCTGTTCAGCCTCTGCCATAAAACACCTGACTCTGTTCACATGTTGCTGATGTATTGTACATTCAGCTACATATGCTAATTACTGCTAATTACTGCTAACGGATGCTAACAGATGCTAACTGTGTGAACCATGTGACCTGTCCAACAGTATCTGCCTGCTGAGCCTTTTGACATTGTTTGAACTCTGTGAGGTCGCAGTCAGCTGACCTGCAGCCAATCAGAACCAGGTGCTGTCCAGGTGAGTGTGGCTGACCTGAGCTTGGGTTTGGGTGTGCTCTGGATGCTGTCGTTGTCGTCCAGCTCGGCGCCGCTGTCGCTCGGGTTGTAAACCTCCAGACTGTCGTACAGCAGGTCCAGGTCCTCCTCAGCCTCCTGACTGTGACCCACCGGGTCCGAGTCCAGAACCTGCAGGACCAAGCAGGTCGGTTCACTGGACAGTACACTGCTATACTGTAGCCTGTTGTGTGTGTTGTTGTGTTGTGTATCCTGAAGGCTGCTGAGCACAAACCTCATCAGAGACTTTGAATCTCTTCAGCAGAGCCACAAACTTCTGCTTGAAGTTCGGCTGCTGAAAACAGAAGAAACAAACTTTGTGATCCAGCTGCAGCAGCATCGTGTTGTTCAGACATGAGTCCGTGCGACAGGTGAGCTCACCTGAGTCAGGGAGGCTGTTCGAATCATCTTCCTGTGAGACTTCTTGGTCTTTCCCTGAACGTCGTCGTCATCATCGAACATGTCCTGAGGAGCACAAACAGCAAGAAACCTGCTAACAAGCTGCTAACAGGCGACAGTTGCTACTTTTGCCACGTTAGCTCTGTTAGCATGCTAACATGTTGTTGTTAGCACTCGTTTGCTAAATGTTAGCAAACACCAGAACTGTATAGTATAAAGACAGGTGTGACA